TCTTTGTTTTGCTAGCCGGTTGTGGCCTCTTGGTCTTTTTGTTTTTGGCGTTGTGGCTCTTTGTGAGGTTGCCGTTACTTTACTTTCAGTTTGTAAGACCTTGTTGAACCTATTTGCTTTCTATAAAGATGGCCGTATGCATCGTTCTGATGCAGAGGCCGGGGAGTCCCCCCTTTTCGAAAAAAAGCTAACACCAGGTCAAGTCTCCTACACATATCACATTTGCATCTTAGTACTTACAATCCTCAGTTTCTTGTCCTCGCTCGACACGCTCTTTATGTGAAAGAACGATGGTTGATTTTCTGCCATAAGTGCGATCTCAACAAAGTTACATGTGCTATATTTATAAAGTTTTCATGCTCCAAAACACCGTATACACATATGGTAATTAATATTTGTGTAAGCAGGGGTGCTTTTGCAAATATGCATGGAACAACACAGACAATGCACCGTCACAAAGCTAAAACCAAATGTTACAGTCCACATGAAGGTGGGGTGTGAGTGTGTGTCTGTGGATAGTATAATTCAGAACCAGCTTTTCACCACGTTAGCTGCTGATGGTACTTATCTTGCTCCGAATTAACTAACCCTCTCTCTGTTTGATCCTAGCTGCATTGACAGTGTTTACACTGGCTACTTACTCTAACTCTCTTTGTCTAACCCTACCCCAGTTGAATACTGTTGCTAATAATGTGGGGGTTTGAGCCGTGTGGGTGCCTATTTAAATTGGAGCCACGTTAGGCTGCAGTGCTAGTCAAAAATTGTGAGCCAAGAAAAGCATCGAATCTCAAAGTGTTATACAATTTCAAATGTCTGGGTTTCTTTTGAGGCATGGTGTGTCAAGGAAGGCATTGGTAGGCGCCAAGGATCGATGACTTGAGAGATGGGGTTAGTTCCTCACTGTTCCGACAAAAATGGAGGGGTGAAACGACGAACGCGTACGCTGTCAATGAAAAACATTATGAAAAGATAGGATTTTCCATGGATCACTTGTAATGGAGTCAATTATTCATTATAATTTACTGTGCAACATATTGTTGTTGATAGAAACCACAAGAAATAGTATAATTAACAGTGGAGTTTGGGGCCGGCTGACCAACTTTTGGTCAAAAAAGCTTGAGTTTGTTGGGGTGTCAATCGATATATTGGTTAGGTCATGTCATGCTAGCTCCAGGTTTTGGGGAATTAAAGGGCCTGTGGACAAAGAAAGCTTGGGATGGGGCCCATTGGACGGCTGGATGTTCCTCCTGGACAGCGACAAGACATCGTGTGAGGTCAATCCATCCGTCCATGCATGGATGGTTCTCTGCTCGTGTGCATTCAGGACACTATGATTGGGTTGGAAGAGTCAAACAACACCACATCTCATGCTACTCTACTCCATGAAAAAATTAAGAAAGGCAAACACCTTCTAAAATTAAATTTTGGGATGAATCTTCTTCTTCTGTTAGAAATCAAGTGGGTGGGTGGGGGCAGGGAACACCTTAAAAATATCTAAACCACTTTTCCCTAATGAACGGCAAAAAAAATGGCCTGCATATGCCCTAAATCCCAGTTCGTTTCACAAAATTGGCCAAAAAAATATATATGCAAAAACTGTTTTTTAAAAGAAAAAAAGGGGCACCATCGAAAATCAAGACAAAAATGGGACATGGAAATATCATATAAATGGCAGCATCTGAAGAACCTGACATCGAATCTCGTCGTTGCGTACGCACGACAAGAAGCCCTAACCTCGCCACTCCGAGGAGTTGGCAGGAATCTACGTCAGAGCTCCGTCTAATCTGTCCCGACGAACGAACTTGCGGAGGATCGGGTCCGGAAGACTGACTCGAAGAAGAAGCACCGCCATCCGTCCGAGTGCCGCCCTTGCAAGAGCAAAAACCTTACCTATCTAAGCCGAGGCACCAGGAATACCCTCCCCGCCACCGGCCGCCAAAGCGGCAAGCCCAAGGAAGGCGAATCCACGGGCTCACCGGCGGAGATCGAAGGAAAGAAGGCTTTCCCTAGTCGGCTTGCGAGAGGAGAAAGAAAAAGTTATCAGTAGTTGGGTACATGGATTTGACTTAACACTAAAGGAAAACTTTGGAAACCATGTTATTTTGGTTGACGTCTTGTGTCCAACAAATAGAAGTATTTTTTTGTTCGTACTACTGGATTTATGATATTTTTTTAACAAAATCCTCAATTTCTTGATTTTCTAGAGTTTTTATCCCTGTCATGTTTTTTTTTTTTTTGCAGTTCCGTCACCTGATTATATACCCCCTCTCCCACCACCTAGCACGGCCTCACAGCATCCACTAACCCTAAGAATCCTAAGAACCGATCTAGTAATTAAGCTGAAACACCCACACAACAAACACAGAGTGAGGTGGTAGAATCATGATCCGTTGTGGGTGGGTGAAAATGGGAGAAGGAATCGATGCCAAGACATGCTCCGTGGTGAGATTAAACTGTGAAAACCCCGAGAAGTGATGGGATCACGCGGCCGCATGTGGATGCACGACAAGGAAGCACATACGTACTACTGCGTGCCCATCGCATCGCATCGAGCTGTAAAAATTCCTCTGACCGGATACTTTAAAAAAAATAACGGCACCGGCATGCAGAGGTGGCAGCAGGTAAATTACCAGCGGAAAATCACAAGGGTTCTACTCTCTTCGTTCCTAAATATTTGTTTTTCTAGAGATTTCAACAAGTGACTACATACGAAATAAAATGAGTGAATCTACACTCTAAAATATGTCTACAGACATCCGTATATCGCGTCCATTTAAAATGCCTAGAAAGACAAATATTTAGAAACGGAGAGAGTAGATCCCAATGCAGCGCAAGCGCAGTGGCCGCGAATATCGTCTGCTGGCTCTGGTGCTTCCGTTGATTTTTACCGCCAGAGATGCTTAAACCGCAGTACTAGCTGTAGTACAATACTAGTACAGTTTAGGGCTGCAAGGTACATTTGGGGCCAAGTAAAAACTATACTGCTACTGGACCCCGCATCGCGTTTTCCTCTCGTCCGTGGCGGCTAGAATCCTAGTCGCCGTCAGGAGAGGCCAATCCTCCAGCGCCGTTCTCCGGCGGCTCCCCTCCGCCGGCGACCTCAGTCGTCGATGGTGACGGGGTCGCCGGATCCACGCGCGTCACCTATTTTTACTCCCGCGCGGTCTAGGTTTTTAGGCTGTTCATCGTCTTGACTTCGGCAGCAATGATGACAGCGTTGAATAAACATTCTTCGGATCCTTCTCTGACGGGGCCATTGGTCCTATGGTTGGGGATGGATTTGGAAACCAGTCTGTTCAAGTAAGGATGGCGTGACGGCGGCGGCATCCTCGTGGTGGACCTGTGTCCTCGGGCTTCGCCGTTGCGACACCGTTTGTTCCAGCGTCGGCACGGAGCTTGGGAGGTACTCCAGGAGCGGATGCAGATTGTGGTCTGCATCGACAACATTTGAAAGACGGAACGTATGTTGGGTTCGTGGTTCATTGATGGCAGGTATGGTTTCCTCCTTCGACGCCTTAGTCGTGGTGGGGTGCCAGATCTGAAGTTTGATGGCGTGTCCGGGGTGTTGCCTCGGTCTGATTCGTTCAACGGCAAGAGCTTCACTTTTGGTGAGCCACCTTGAAGGTCCGCAAAGCTACATATCAGTGATGGAGCCGCGTCGAGCTCGGAGTGAAGAGGTGATCCGTCCTCCTTTTTTTTCCGATGGCTGTTGTGGTGCTGCCGGAGGTAGATGGTATGTGTTGGTGTCAAGTTCAGAGGATGTTTTGCTATTTTTTCAGCTTTGTCATGTTGGTCCTTACGTGACTTGTATCTCAATCTTCATGACATGCATGAGACACGTATTATCATGAGAAAAAAATCTAAATTCGGGTTAGCCGTAGTAGTTTAATAAAAGGATCCCGGGTAATTACTACCGCAGGTGCTGAGTGCGGGTGCAGGCGAGCCATGTGACGCAGCTGCGGTGAAAAAAAGCTGGGTAAAGGGAAAAGGTAAAACTAGTACTACTTCAAACTTCAAAGCATCTCTCAAGCTTGGTGGTGATGAGGTGCGTCGCCAGTCACCACATTAATTACTGCCGTCATCCCGAGGTTAATGAGGGCGGCAGACACATGCCGGCAGATTCCATTACCACTGAACAAGTGACCAGGCCTGTTGCCAGGCACATGGAAGATTCATAGAGACAAGTGGAGTGCGGCTTCATCTTGGTTATTGTTGTTAGCGTGATGGTCGACGGTTCTGATCCAGTCCACACCGACCGCTGAAGCTCAAGGCAGTTACTTTAGCTGCGATGAGACTTGCACAGTTGGTTGAAACTGTGCTCAAATTGATTTCAATTTGCAATGCACTTCAAATTATTTCCCCACCAGGGTATTCCGCTTTGCAAATCAATTTTATGTCGCCGTCTTTCTGAGCGGGCGATCATGCCGGGCATGGCGTCGAAATGTTTGCTCCGACACGAACAGATTTAGCCGGGATCGTGTTGTCCAGAAAACCTTTTCCTTTGTTTTCATGCCATATTGGAGAGAGCGATGGTGGAAATAAAAGCCCACAATCCGCAAAGCCTACGGAATCCGGTAGTGCCACGGTCAATCTGCAAAGCCTAGGATGAATTTCCAAACTACTGTCCTGGTGATGCAACCAGCAAGTTGGAAATCCTCGCATATTTACAGTCAACGTTCGGGGAACTACTACTAAGAATGCCAGTGCAAAGCAAGTATCCATCCTTCTCTTCTGACAGTAGAAGCTAAGCATCCATCTTCAGAAAGAGTAGCAGCCAGCTGATAACCTCACCATGTCCCTTTGTTACTTGCTAAAACTCGGTGCGTCCTACAGAAGCAGCAGGGAACAAACAAACCTTAGCGGGCAGCGGCAGCCAACATCCCCAGGTGCCAGAAGCAAACCAGGCCAACATCACAATTCATGTTGTTTGGCGTAGTAATCAAACATTGCGTGAATTCGCTACGTACCACCGTCGTGAGATTCCGTGGAATGTGCGCGCCCTAGGAGCCGTCCATCTCCACGACCACGGGAGCAAACTGCGTTCCCAAGAGAAGAAGAAGATTCTCAATCAAATGTAGCAGACAAGTATTGTCTTACTGTCCTCTCTTTTTTTTTTTCCTTTGAGATAGCAGACGAATATTGTTGCTGCCTTGTTCATGACCCGACTTACCTCATCGTCCTCATCGATAAGGTTCACCGCGTTGTTCTCGAGATCCCACCCAAACGTGGTCTCCAGGAGCGTCTTCAGTTTCCTAGCCTGCATATGAAGGGAAGATGTTACAAATATCAACGTTCTTAGAATTTCTCCACAAAGTGCACAGCGGTAGTATATGATATATCCTCAACATTTTTTTTTCAACAGCAACAGTGAAGCTACTCAATTGATGCGTATTTCGTTTGCTCTGTAGAGTTGGTTGAACAATATTGTCATTAATTTCCGATTTAACAATGCAAACTTTCATAATTTCTGGGTGATAATCCGGTGCCTCAAATAACCAAATCACAATTCATGCATGGGTGGCTAGTCAGATAGCGGAAAACAGGAAGGGCACGGCCTTGCTTATGCTGCCAGGGTACACGTAAACAGCTAAGAGATCAGACAAAGAGACGACTCGAGAATGCTAACCCATGACAGAAGGTCCCCATCCACGACTTGAGCTTCAAATATTACCGCCAAGAAATCCTGGCAACAGCAGTTGAGAGAACTAAATTATTTTGCATACAAGGTATCAAACACATTTTGTAAGTATATGTATAAGTAACCCTGATCTTTCACAGTAACAATTTTAGAAACTACGGGAAACACGATTAACATTGCCATCTTGTTTATTTATGTGTATGCCATGTCGCGGTGTATCAGCCATTTAGAATACCAAACAGGAAACAACTACAATCAGAGACTAGGCCAAAAGGACAAGTATCCATTTGCTCGGTGCGTCATATTAAGAGCTTGTGCTACAAAAAAAAAAGTCATGATTGCATATGATGGAATACTACAATCATTCCAAAGTAAACCATGAAAGTGATATATAGCTGAAAACGTGTTCACCTAGCCACATTTATCCGAGCAAAGTTGACTTATTTTCTACCTTCCTGAGTTCCAGCACTACAGCAGTTCTTGTAGTTACATTTACATATGTCAGGGGCCAAAAGGTGTTGCATTATGAATTAAATACAAATGACAAAGCTGGCCAGGAACTTTACTGAACAATTACTTTCCCTCTTCACAACAGTGTCAATAGTGGACAAGAAAACAATGAGACCCTGCAGATCTCAAGGTGATGGGACTGATGATCGGATACATCCGGACAAACTGATTTCACGGCGAAGTGACATCAAATATTTGTCTTCACAGGTGTGTACAACTACATATCCTGATACCAATAGGATGCGTAATGTCCAAATAAATATTACAACAAATTACCTTGGAAAGCCGGTAAAGGAATATGTCTCTTGAAAACCATGCTTCGTCCAGAAACAAAGAATTGCCCTTGTCCTCACTACTTCTGGAATCATGTGTACGTTGAAAGCCATGCTTGAACTGGTAGTAAATAACCCTAATAAACTGCACGGAACAAAAATGTGGCATACAGAACTCGTTATAGACCTCAGGGTTCAATTGCATTGCCCTGATAAATTCAACAAATAATGCCTCAGGTACAAAAGTAAACAACAAATACAGTCACATAATACCTTTACAAACAATTGTGTCCTTGTATGAAGTGGCTGCCAGGGAGAAAGAAACAGAGTCAGCTAAGAATATAATGGCATGTATTGATGTGCAATACATCTTCAAGAGGATCACATCAACTATCAAGTGCAGTGCATCTCTTGATCTCTTCCCTTCCATTTTCCCACACTCCCAATCTCAAAACACGCATACATACATTATACTATCAATAATGGGCTGTTAAAACTTAGAGCACGGCTTATTCAGAAAATCTTGATTTTTTAACATACAGAAGCACAGTGACTCAGCTTAATCAATGTATGACCTGAGATGGTAGTTCGAACTACCAATTATATTGCTTGCCTAACCTATATCACTTCAAAAACGGAAAGAAGAAGAAATGGCCTGGTTGCAGGCAAAGGACTGATAGTAAAATGTCAAACCAAGGCAGGGTAATAAAGACTAAAAGAGCATTTGGGCTAGACCCAACAAAATAAGGATGCCACTGTATGTAGTTTAACTGTGAAGATACTTAGGTAAGATTATTTCTTAAACAGAATACAACCAGAGTTTCAAGAACTGTTATGGGGCGATATATCAGAACCTGGCCAGTTCCAATCTTCATCCAGAAACTTGGTTTCATTTCTTGAGTTTAAAATTTGGCCGTTCTTTGACTTCCAACCTTCTTTGCGGTAGGAATAAATAGTATTACAATTCTTTGAACAGAAGATGGAGCCAAAAGGGGACATTAGGTGGCTGAAATGTGCCAGGTTCTGAAAAAACGGCCCAGGGTCATCTGGGTAGCCAGCTGGTTCAATATGATTTTCTAAACCCTGAATAATAATACTACAGATAGGTGGATAAAAACAATTTAACCATCAATGTTTAAGGAGCAAGAGTAACAATGCTGTAGGAGATAACAAATATCAGTACTTACAGCTTCGCTACAGCTCAAAAGAAGACTGACTAATGCTTTCCACTGCATAAACGCCTCCAGTGACTGTCCCATCTACACAACTCAAATACATTAGAGAACAGAGCCACATAGTAAATAAAACATCTTCAAAACAATTGTTTAGTTTTGTCGGCAGTACCATAAACGCTACGAAAGAGAACTGCAGCTCCCCCAAGAGTAAATCTTCTTGGCCTTGATAATTTTTGGCCAAGACAGTCTCCAGCAAGCTTGTCTGAAAAGTAGAACAGACTCGTCAACAAATATTGGTATAACTTGTCAACTCAGTGTTCACTAACATGGGAACCTATATGAGGAATCAATTTGAGCAAACCACCATTAGCAGTAATGATGCCTATTTGAAGATTATAGCATGATTGATGGTATTGTGGTTGAAATGACAAAAGGCAGCAAACTAATGTTTTCACATGGCTGTTTGTCGATGTGCTAACTACAATTGAGGTTGTACTATTCAAGTTCAGGCTGTTGTGTCCACATGTAAGGCCAGAAAGATCTCAGTGTTCAAATTGTAATAAGGATGTGTTCGCATCAGATAAACTATTGCTTCAGGAAATCGATTGTGGGAAAAAACAAGATATAAAAAACCAGATCCACGCTGATAGATTAACTGTGCCAAAGTATGCTAACAAATAATATAATAAGAACATTACTCTGTCCAAATTCAGCAAAGTCAGCTCATCTGCAGAAATGTTTCTGTGCTTAACCGAAGCTGGGATAGTTGTGTAATAGCATCCTCTCCTCTCAGGCTGTGCAGGGGCTTTCTTTGCAAACTTGTCTTCTCTAAGTTGTTCCATCAATCGTCTCTCCATATCTGTTTGGGGAGCTCTATCCATCCATGATGTCTCCAATGCAATTGTAATTTCTCCACCAATTGGCTCTGTACAAATCAAACACACATAACCAGTAGTTCATTAGTTAGTTCTATCAAAAATGTCTTAAACACAGGCTGCTCTGTAACTATTAAGGGTACGAGAAAAATCAAGAATGCATCAGACTTACCAAGGCGTTCAATGACACTTTGTGACAAGTAGCTTGAAAGTTGTTTCCAGTCTCCAAAAGAATCCAAATTGTATGGTCCAAGCTGATCATCGAACTCGAAACGTTTTACTGCTTCAGAGTATCTGATTTCCTACCATAAAACAAACTTCAGTATCCTAGGCTTCTAGCCCAAGAAAAATCAAACACATGCAATCCCTAGTTTGA